TACACACACACACACATACACACATATACCTAGGTATATAGAAGTACTTATTTTATATGATGTTTATATTGTAATATATGGAGTTTATAGTAACCCAGTAGTGACACAAATGGAGGCTTTCAGAGGCTTTGGCAGATCCCCCTGAAAGTAGAATATTCTCTGGGAAGATTCTCAACTCTGCCACGGAGTTACTCCTCTATGTATAACCGCATAGTTGGTTACATGGTTTGCATTAGGATAATAAGTAGATTGTATTGAGAAAAGGTAACAAAAATCTTCAAAGTGAAAGGCAAAGGTATAGGCTCACTGTAGAGCATCCCCAGATTCTGCCTCTGAATACTAAGAGACCAGGTTTCTGTAGAAGGAATGCTTAGTTCTCAAAGACTAGAGCATTTTACCCGTGGTCGGCAAACTGCGGCTCGTGAGCCACATGCGGCTCTTTGGCCCCTTGAGTACCGAAATGGGGGCACATACAGTGCGATTGAAACTTCGTGGGCCATGCGCAGAAGTCGGTTTTCGGCCTGGGTGAGTCTATTTTGAAGAAGTACTGTTGATATTTGGCTCTGTTGACTAGTGAGTTTGCCAACCACTGGATAGACATTCCTATACTTTTAATGAAGAAGTTCAGAAATCTGGGGGGAAAAACAATTTCTGGCTCCCTTTTAGGTTTATTCATATATTTTTCTTAAAATGACAGTAGCTTTGAGCCCCTTTCAAATTAAAACATTTTATCAAAGGTAAAGTTCACCCCACTCCTATAGGGGCAATAATGAAAACAGTGCAGAAGAACAAGAGGATTACTCAGGAGGAGTTAGAAGGTCTGAAGTCTAGTTCATTGCTAATTGTATCCTTCATACATTATTGAATCTCTGTTTTCTGCCTATAAAGCTGGAAAAATACAGCTTGCACCTCTTTTTTCACAGGATTGATACAGTATGAAATGAGAGTACCTTGTACGTTACTGAACTGTAATTCATGTAGTATATGATGATGAGATATTCATTACCATGCTAAATACTTAAGTACATCCATAGACCTATATCCAGGGGAAAATAACCCTGAGTTGATGAGATTTTTTTCTCTACATGTCAAACAGTATGGGGGATAGAAAGTTTATTTCAGAATGTTGACATCTCAGCAAAGTAAGAATAGCTAAAGTGTCATTTTTGTGTGTGTGTATATAAAAGACAAGACAAAAATATGTCTGTATATTCAGATACCTGTCTATATATATAGTCATAATATAGAGAAATTAAACTTGAGGAGAGCAACATTAATTAGCAGCATTTTTTAAAAAAAATTCTGGGCCAGTACCTATTTTAGATCAATTTATTAGATTAAATCACACAAAATAGCCACTAATGAATCATTTCCAACCTACATAATAGTGATATTTTATATGATTCAAACTAATAGTTTGCTATTTTGTGATTATCATTAGCCACTGGAAATTGTTATACTTTATTGTTAAGCTTAGGTATTGGCAAGCGAGTCACTTTAGAAGCATGTTAGATGTCTACCAAGTTTGTTTTAGGAGTTGAATTTTTCTTCTTAGATGTTTCTCTTCCTATGGATAAAGCTTTCTGGAAAACATCTATAATCAAATCCTTGTTACTATACAGACACCACAGTAAACCTCACTTGCTAAAAATGCTATTCTTTCACTTCATCTATTGATCTTGGAGTAGAATTCAGCTTAGATATTTTGATTTTTCAATATCCTTTAAAAAATTCTGATTTCTCAGTATTTAAAGGCTATTTAACCCTTATAGGTTGTCTCATCTTCCAACGTAAGTTTGGATAACTGGCCCCATATGTAGGAGAGACGAATGCAATTAGAGGGAAAAAGAACAATCTAGGCGACAGAAACACTGATACCAGCCCTGCAGGCGTCTTCTTTTGTCCTTATCATTTTTGACCCATTTACTCTTTTCTTTTTTTTTTTTTTTTTTTTTTTTTTTTAATGACAGCAGTAATCAACAAAATAGTTTTGTGAGAATTCCTGGCTTTATTGTTCTGAACAAAGAAGCTAACTGTTCTGTATTAACATTGGCTCTGATTAACATTTTCCAGGTAGCAGATGTTAACTGATATTTTCGTATTCCGTCAGAATATCTGAACCCTGTCGAGGAGAACCCTTTTGTTTCTCGGAGAAAAAACGGAGACCTTCAAGCTTTGGATAATCCCGAATACCACAATGCTTCCACTGGTCCACCCAAGGCAGAGGATGAGTATGTGAATGAGCCACTGTACCTCAACACCTTTGCCAACACGCTGGGGAATGCCGAGTACCTGAAGAACACCGTACTGTCTGTGCCAGAGAAGGCCAAGAAAGCGTTCGACAACCCTGACTACTGGAACCACAGCCTGCCCCCTCGGAGCACCTTTCAGCACCCAGACTACCTGCAGGAGTACAGCACAAAATATTTTTATAAACAAAATGGACGGATCCGGCCTATCGTGGCAGAGAATCCCGAATACCTCTCCGAGTTCTCGTTGAAGCCAGGCACTGTGCTGCCTCCTCCACCCTACAGACACCGGAATACTGTGGTGTAAACTCAACAGTGGTTTTAAGGTGGAAAGACATGCCCGCTCCAATTTCCCTGCCACCTCTCTTTCTCTTACAGTCTCCCTTCTACTCCCAAGGCCAGTAGTTTTGAAACTTCCCAGGGGAAGCTGTAGAGATGCAATGATAGTTATGTGCTTATCTAACTTGAACATTAGAAGGAAGGACTGAAAGAGAAAGACAGGAAAAACCACACTGTTTCTTCATTTCTCTGCATGGGTTGGTCAGGCGACAGAACCAGCAAAGGCAAGGCAATACTGCCTGCTGTCAAACAAGTTTTCAAATTTTTTCTTTTTTCAAATTTCTATTTTTTTTTTAAATGCGGAGTCTTGAAAGACCCATGCTATCTGTTCCTGTCTACAGGAACTGATGTGTACAGTTTCAGCATCCCTGAAAGCCCTAATAACCTTTACATTAGAATAAGTAAAAGATAACCTTTTCTATAATATGTAATATAACAGATTGAGAATCCAAATTTCTTTCTCCCACTGTTTCTATCCTGACAAGCAAGAGTTGCTAACTCAGCTTTCATTTCTGAATCTACATCAGAGTTATAACTAGTAATTTTGTTTGGAGGGCTTTCGTGTGTGTTTTTTTATTATTTTATTTTCCTTTTTGTTTTTGCTTTGCTCTAGTCCTTCGTATTACTACTTTCTCCCCTATTTTTGGCTTTAATTTCTAATTGCAAAGATTTTTTATGCATTGCTATAAATTATCAGAATTTTAAAAAGGAAGTGGAATGGCCACTATTTTAAATATATTGTCTTTAAAATTAGAAAGGGAGGCCAAGATGTTAGTCAAATATAGCATCAAATCTCACTTTTTTTTTGAGTTTACACTATTGAACATGTACCACCCCCATTCCTTTTCATCCTTCAATGTTTTCTTCTCCTCCATAAATGACAGTACTTGATGGGCAGTTGGTAATTTTTTAAAAAGAAGGGAAACTAAGAGACAGTTCTGTGTGGTTCATGAAAACTACTGATATTTTCAGGGGTGATCCAATGGGGAATCCATTGAACTGGAAGAAACACACTGGATTGGGTATGTCTACCTGGAAGATACTCAGAAATGTAGTTTGCACTTAAACTATAATTTTATTTGTTCTCTTTCTGAACTCCATTTTGGATTTTGAATGAAGCAATATGGAAGCAACCAGCAAAATAGCTAATTTAAGCACATTTTTTAAAAAGTGCTTAAAGAAAGAAAGACTATGGAAATACCAAACCAAGCAAATTAGGACTTTGGAACAGTATCCAGGGATTATGATGACAGGGACAGCACGTTATCTACATGTGATATCACATTTGCTACGCAAGGAAAGTTGTCCAGTTTGTATACTGAATATTAAGAAATGCAAGTAACGATGGGCTTGAATTCTATGGAATTTCTAGTATGAGACTCTATTTATAATAAGGGGAAGGTAACTCTTTGCACATAAATTGGTATAACAAAAAAAGAAATACAAGCATTCACAGCTTATAGATAGATCCTTGGGGCAAAAATTGTAAATAAACCTGAAAAATATTCTCATGTAATTATTTTAATATCCCACATACTAATCTTTTGATACTTTATATAATAACTCCTTTCCTCAAACACAGCATCCTAGTAATAGGACCATCTTTATTATGTATTGTTTCAAGAGAATACCTGCTGAGTTAATATGATTAATGGGAACAAATGGTAGGAATGAGTCTCCAGAAAAAGGGAACCTCAGACAGTTATTAGGAGAATTGGATATGTCTCTCTTTTCTAAGAAAATCCATCCCAGGTCATTTGGATTTAAATTTTTTTTTCTAATGTTGACATAGTGGGATCAAATTTGACTCTATTATAAGAAGCAATTAGACTAAAAATCTCCAAATGGTAAAACAGAGAATTTAGAGGGGAGAATGCAAAAGGAAAAAAAAAAATCTAGGTTTCTGCTTGTTTTGAAAATGTAAATCCATTAATACTTTCAACTTATTTTTTCAATTAATATTTATTTAGAGTCTATTAAAAGCACTGTGTTATGTGGGAAATACTGAGATAAATGTAATATTATTCCTAACTTAAACATTTTAGTCTAGATTTATTTGGGATGACACTTGAATTTCTTCATAAATTTAAAGAATAAGATTGCATGAACTTTTTGTGAGTAGTCATCATAAAATCAGCTGTTAGTTAAAAGATCTCTAGTGAACTCATTTGAGACACAAATGAAAGATCCTACAAGTTACTAAAATATACAAATAGGATAGTTTCAATGCTATCATCTAAGCACAAACCGGTCTAGAAGGATGTTGCATCACTGGCCTATTGGCCTGCCTGGATCTAACTTGACCATTAAATCAGCAGTCAATGTTGGTCTTTGGCCAAGAACCTTGGGGGTATTGGGATCAGTTTCATTCTACGTTTTGGAAAGGGGCGTAAGCTAAAAGAGCGAGGAAAAGCAAGGAAGGTGTCAACATGAGAATGTCCAAATCTGTAGAGAATTTTTATGAGTTTATTTGAGCAAACTGACATCATGGCAAGACACAAAATCTCAAATGCTCTCCTGAGATACTTTCTAATAAAGTTCAACCGTAAATTTCCCAAGAATAATTCAGGCGCCACAGCATGACAGCTTAGAGCACTGTCACCCATTCAGAGGAGTCTCCAGGAAAAGGGGACCTCACATCAGTACTTATGAAAATTTAAATATAAGCCTCCAACTTCTGGATAAATCTGTACCAACTCAGCATTGACAGCACCCTTGTTGGATACTGGAACTTGATTTTTTTTTCTTTTGATTTACAGTATTCATATATTTTTATTGTGATATGGAAAGCACAATTGTTTATTTTGTAGAAGGCTAGAACAGTATTTTTTTTTTACTCTTAAGGTAATAGAAATGTATCCAGTGAATGTAATCTCCTCCATCCTAAGAACATGAGACCCTTGGACATCAGGTAATCTTCCACTAATAACTGGTGATAGATGTGAGTATAATCTAAAGTGATCCAAAATGTTTCATGAGGGCTCCACGTTATTGTTCCTTTTGGATGATTTTTGTAGTACATACTTGATTTCAGTTGTTTGAAGGTTTCCCTTTTGTTATATATTTGTTCTCCTTAGAAAACATATTTCAGAGTGGATGAGAAGGAGAAAAAAAAATCCATTTGTTCCAAAGAATAACTCGGTCAACCCAGTGGAGCGTCATGTTCAAATGCCAATCAAAGCCTGAAAGGTGCATTGGAATATCATGTTCCTGAGGCTAGATGTTTCTGTGCTAATATGCAGAATCAATTCAGCCAATTTGAAGAAAATCAATAGTAAAGTTGCACAAACTGTATTTTTAAATCACCAAATTTTGTAGTTTATACCTACCTTAGGGAATCCTATTTTCAAGTATGAAAAATGGTATAATGGAAAGGTTGTTTAAAGAAGTACTTCTTAGACAGGTGAGGAAAGATGTTCTGTAAACCAGGGTAGACCCAGCACCTCAAAGCACCCTGCACCATGCTGAGGTGCTCGGGCTGCTGAGCAGCGGTTGGTTTTCCAAATGTTAGTGGCACAGGTTAGGATGAGAGCTTTCTCACGTAATAATCTTGAAATAGCATAAAAAAATAAATACTCAAATTATATTAAAAGGTACAAAGTAAAAATATGGGATTCTTTCTTAGTATATCAAGAAGGATGATTATCTGGGGCTTCGGAGAAGAAAGGGTATTCTTCTAAGACGTGTTATAATGTGTGCTAATAGCTTCTAAAGGCAGGACATGGCATGAAGATCAGGAATATCCCCAATGCCACGGACAGATCCTTAAAAGGACTGTGAGTGTTTGCTGCTACCTGAAGTTAGAGGGACTATGGGTGTGCTTCTTGAAGTGTCGAAAGTGAAAAGAAAAATTTAATTCTTTAAGCCCGACAGGGAAGGATGTAAATACAAGTTTTTTCTAGCTATCTAACCTTTATTTCAAAACTTGAATTATTCATCCATCTATAAATGTTGATTATTTAACTAGTGTATGTAGTTCATAAGGTAATAGAAAAGGTAAAGATCATGAAAGCATGTATATAACTGGGCAGACCATGAAAATGCTGTAAGATGTAGATTTAGTTAAGTTATCAGACATTAAATGATTTTAATATTATTAAATAAACTAAGTTAGAAAATTAACCACAAACTATAATGTAACAAAATAAAATGCAGGATATGAAAGTGTAGGTTGGATTTTGCAAAGTAAAAAAATAAGTTTACCCTTTAAAATTGCTATTTGTTAGGTATATCTGAAAGTAGGCATGTAGAGAGCTGGTTCCACTTGTGAAAATTTGTTTAAAGAACTACAATTAATTTTTTTCTCATATTCTTACTCCTTTACCTTTTAAAAATGTATTAAATGTAAAGAGAAATTTTTAGAATTTGTCTTGCAAGTACCACCTTGAAGAGTTTAACAGGCAAATATGTTGATTATGACTTGAAGTGAGGGGTCTCTAAATGAAGTCCAGGGGAAATGTAAATGTTCTATTACCTTATGCAGAGACAGAGAATGAGTGGTGCCATTGACTAAGCAAACAAAACATTTAATTTGTGACATGTCCTTTCTTTTTCCTTGATACCTCTGGTTTCCCCAAACAAACAGGAATTAGTTAACAATATTCTGATAAAGAATTGCTAAAACCAGCATTTCAAACTGCTGTATCTCCATTATTTTGGACTCTAATTATTAAACTGATGATTTGTAATACAGCAAATAAGAAATCCAGGTGTGTAGGCTGCTAGTTGTTTAAAAAAAAATCTGATAAATTCACTCCTGTATATGCTATGGACAGATAATCCTGCTATGCCTCTCCTTGTGTATATGGAATTTTGAAGGACAGCCTTGTACCCATGTAGACACACAAAGGCAGACTCATGTCTTCTAATTGCCATTTGCTTGAGAAAGAATAGCAATAGAGAGATAGACTGGGTATAACTTAAAATGCCAAGATCAGAGGAGGCCTTAATATTACAGATATTGCAGTGGGGCCAGGTTTTATATTTCTGGGTAGAATTGATACAATATTCTAATCCCAGAGATGTCTTTGCAGAGTAGTTGTTTCTACAGTTACAAACATGAAGCTGTTGTGGACACTTTGTTGGGTCAGGAAAACCTTTTCTTTGTGTGGACAAATGGCTTTTAAAGCCATGGGCTGCTTTGTTATGTTCATTAACAGAAAAGTCCCCATAAAAAAAAGTAGAAAATTTAGACACTCTGTTCAAGTCCCCCTGATTTTGCAAAAATGTAGGATGTGCCACTTTTGTGGACCCCTGCCTCACCTCTTCCCAGCCAGGTGATATTTTGGGCAGAAGAAAATGCTTCTCTGGTCATGAGCTGAAAAGACTCTAAGCCCCAATTTCATGGATGTTCTCATGCTTTCCCTGGAAAATACCCTTTGACCCTCAGTTTTATAAGTGATTATCTTGGTAGGTATCATAGAAATGCTCATTTCTCTCTGGACCTTAGAGGAAAATACCATCCCCTTTCCTTTCCCATTGGCACAAGCACCTCCGTTGTCTTCACTTTTCCACCACTCTAGTTTGGAGTGGTCCCCTCGATGCTGTATCTCTCTTAAGCCATAGTGGATCTCTGAGGTCCCACACCCTGCTCTGTGAAATAATGACTTAGCCTCTTCTCTCACATGCCTGACTTTTTCATAAAAGATCCCAGCAATTTGGATATCATTTGAACTATGTGCAAATAAATTACTGCACATAGCATACTTTGTGATATTAATTTTTTCTTCATGTTTTTCCATGAAGATTGATTCCTTTACTATGTCCTTCTCTGTAGGATTTGAGATGAGTCAGCCCTGTGATGAATCTTGAAACTCACTTAGGGGCACATGCCCTTGGTAGGTCTCAGATTTAATCTTTTCATGAAAACCTTACGTATCACTGAGAAGTTAGTTTTGCCAGCACATTAACTTATTTACTTTATCTTATTTTATTCCTGATCTCAAATATTGTATAGCTGCTGTATTTTTTTCCCCACAAATGAAGAGTCTTAGTATCCTAAAAAGTAAAGGCTATTCAGCTTTGGGAATCCCTTATAATATTTTATTAGTTTCATTCATCCATCTGAGAAATATGTAATGAGTGCAGTTTCACTGTAATGGAAATTCATGTTGTCTACGAGGTTGCCATTTTTTCTCTGCTTATGCTCTCTAAGGACATTTTTCTTTCAAGACTCTACTGAGTTTGACCCATATCGTGAGACATGGTTATATTTGTACAAATATACAAATATAAGAAAACAAAGTTTCATACCTGTAGGCAATAGTCTAACTTGTCCAAGCCACTTTGCCTTTACTGCTATTTTTATCCCTGATGTGTAAAGTGTGCCCCAGCCTGTAGCCTTTTGAAGGAAAGCAAATCATACATCCTATATATTGACATAACCTGTTTTTTGCATCGCATTTCCAGATTTTTCAGTTAATGAAGGGTTGTACTTTTTCCCCTCGCGTGGAAGTCATTTTCCTGTATATTTCTGGATCTCTCAGGGGCTGGGAGGAGGGAGTGAAGGGACTGCACCATAGCACTCCAAGAACCCTTTTGGGATGACTACAGTAATCAACTACAAGAGTTATTTTCTAAATGTAGATATGTGAGCTGTTCTTTTAAAGTAAGGTACTTTGAAATATGTAGCATAAATTGGCACTGCTGTTAAATGGGTCGATTACTAAACTGAGCAGCTGTCCAAGGGCAGCTAACTTTGAATGCACATCTCACTGGCTGTGGCGTCTGCATCTCATGTTGTGAGCTCCAGGGACTTGCATTGCTGCATGTCGAAACTGCGTCGTCTCATGGTATGACTAGTTGTTCATGTCTTTCCTGAGCATCATTGTAACAAGATCAAATGAAAATGAGACCAATCTGTAAGACAATTCATAGCACAAAAAAAATGTCACGT